AGAAAAATAATTTTTTAAAACACTCCTTCAAAATATACAAAAACTCAGATCTTGGTTTCCACTATCATTCGATATTCAAAGAAACCAAGGCTCCTTGAAGAAATGGATGATTTCAAGGCTTGAGCTGAAAATGAATAAGATGAGCCTAGTTCAGCTTTGTTAGGACAGAAAGTTAAAAAATGAGATGGGGCCTTATTGGAAAAAAATACAGGAACCAGCCTAGCTTGAGAGGTACCCACTGTTTAATACAGGATAATATGTACAAGATGATTTTTAAAGAAAATTAATGGATTATATATTACTGAAGTAATGAGGAAAAAAGCGTAACAATTGGAATCTAAAAGTCTAGGACTCACACAAGAATGAAGAGCTCTTGCTTATAGTAAAATGTCAACTGCTGACTGGAGTAGAGTTGAAAAAAATAATTATTTTGCAACCATACAAAAACCTGGCATAGATAAGAATCATGGGTGAATGCTAAATCTAGAGAGCAGGAGTGACGAGTAGTAGAATATTTGTACAATCTTTCAGTGTCTTCCTATAGGCTGCTTATTAGCAGCAAATGGGGGGAGGGGGAAGCAACTATACAGTGGAGAAATCTGACAATGACTTTACTGGTTACCAAAATTAACATCATTAGTGAAGGAAAGATACACAGTGTGTACCTCCAAATATGTACACTTAGAAGGACACACATAGAAGGAACACACTTGTGTAGTATTTCCACCTATTGAAGCATAACCCGGATCTAATGAGAGACATCAGAAAATACTAAATAAAAAACATCTTATTAAAAAGGAGGATGGAAATTATATTATTTAAAAATGTTACAGAACAAAGAGTCTGAACAACTATTCCAGATGAAAAGAGAAAAAGAGAAATGATAATTAAATGCAATGTATGGGAGACATGTTGACTTGCTTTGGAAAAAAAAATACAGGAGGAGACTGACTACAAAGAATATTTTTAGGTCAGGCATAATAGTCCATGACTACAGTCTCAGCTACTCTGAGACTGAAGTAAGCAGATCACTTGGACCCAAGAGTTTGAAACCAGAATTGGCAACATAGCAAGACTTGGCCTTAAAAAAAAAAAAAAAATTATTAGGTCAATAGACAAAAATGGAATATGTATAGTAGATTAAAGTATTATATCAATGTTAAATTTCCTGAGATCTGTGACTGTACTGTTTATGTTCCTTCAAAATATACACTGAAAAGTTTAAGGTTAAGAGATAATCCCTCCTTATTTAGACTGAATTGGACAAAAACAGGAATTTGATCATCTATTTATTGGCATCTAAATACTAGGACATTAATTCTTGTGCTGTAGGAGTCTTATTGAGGAAGTTGGGTCTAATCCCACAGATGGAGATTAGGGCCTACTTTTTCTTCTATTAGACACAGTGTCTCTGGCTTAATTCCTAGGTCCTTGATCCATGTTGAGTTGAGTTTTGTGCATGGTGAGAAATAGGGGTTTAATTTCATTTTGTTGCATATATATTTCCAGTTTTCCCAGCACCATTTGTTGAAAATGCTATCTTTTCTCCACTGCATGTTTTTGTCACCTTTGTCTAATATAAGATCATTGTAATTTTGTGGGTTAGTCTCTGTGTCTTCTATTCTGTACCATTGGTCCACCAGTCTGTTTGGTGCCAATACCATGCTGTTTTTGTTACTACTGCCTGGTAGCATAGTTTGAGGTCTGGTATAGTGATGCTACCTGCTTCACTCTTCTTGCTAACGGTTGCTTTAGCTTTTCTGGGTCTCTTATTTTTCCAGATAATTTTCATGAATATTTTTTCTATTTCTATGAGGAATGTCATTGGGAGTTTGATTAGAACTGCATTAAATCTGTATAGTGCTTTTGGTAGTATGGTCACTTTGATAATATTAATTCTGCATATCCAAGAACAAGGTAGATCTTTCCATCTTATAAGGTCTTCTTTAATTTTTTCTGTAGCATTTTGTAGCTTTCCTTGTAGATGTCTTTCACTTTTTTGTTAAGTTTATTCTCTCTCTTTTTTTAATTTTATTGTAAATGGGGTAGTTTTCCTCATTTCCCTTTAAGAGGATTTGTCACTGATATACAGAAATGTCTTGGATTTATGGGTGTTGATTTTGTATCCTACTACTTTGCTGAATTCATTCACTAGTTCTAGAAGTTTTCTGGTGGAATTTTTTCAGTCTTCTAGGTATAGAATCATATCATTGGCAAATTAGTCAATCCCAAAAATCCAAATGCTGAATGATTTCTCTGATTTAAGGATACTGATCCACAATATGCTGTGGGGGTAGGGATGGGAGGATTAAATGAACTCTAGATAGGGCAAAGGGGGAAAGGAGAGGAAGGGGAAAGGAGGGGACATAGGGGTAGGAAAGATGGTGGAATTCGAGGAGTCATCATTACTCTAAGTACTTGTAAGAAGACATGAAGGATGTGACTCTACTTTGTGTACAACCAGAGATACAAAAAAGTGTGCTCTATATGTGTAATAAAAATTGTAATGCATTCTGTTATCATATATAACAAATCAAAATTTTAAAATAAATAAGTAAATTAATTAATTAAAAACTATTAAATGGGCATATTTTTAATGTTTTCACAAAAGAAAAATATGTGAGGCAATGAATATGTTAAATAGTTTGATTTATACACTTCACAAAGTAGACCTATATAAGAACATAATGGTTTCACTGCATATATGTATAAAACTTTATTCACCAATTAAAACTAAATAAATGAATATGATACTAAATTTTTATACAAATAGTTATACAGATAAATGTAAGAATAATAAAAATTATACTATCATTTATTGCATGAGTGAACAGAATTTTTTAGTTAAATTACCTTCAGTAATTTTCATTATCAACAAATATTCTGTTGTAGCAATTTGTAAGTTATGAATTAATAGCATGAATAGTATTAATTATTAGTATTCCATTTTATACAGGATACTATTTTCTGTTTTGTTTTTGTTCTAAAATCTGTTATAAGTTCTTAATTTATTCAATAAAAATGCTACATTAAAAAATAAAAAATAAACACTAGGACAGAAGAATGAAAGATTTCTATATTTTCTGTTCCCATGGACAACAAAATCCTTACTTTAAACAGAAGCAATATGCTAACAGTTGTTAAATATTTCACATCAAGTATTGGATTGATTTCATAATTAAAAACATTCAGATTGTGAGTTTCCCACAAAGGTCCAACAACATAAAATGTGCTAATAATGCAGATAATGCACTTTTCTTTAAGTTGTAGATGAAAACATTACCTCTATTTAATTTATTTATATGTGGTGCTGAGGATCGAACCCAGGCTCTCACACATGCGAGGCAAGCACTCTACCACTGAGCCACAATCCTAATCCTGGGATAATGCACATTTTGTTCTATGTAACTTTTTAAAAAAAATATTTATTTTTTAGTTGTAGTTGGACACAATGCCTTTATTTTATTTATTTTTATATGGAGCTGAGGATAGAACCCAGGGCCCGACACATGCGAGGCGAGTGCTTTACCGCTGAGCCACAACCCCAGCACCTATGCAACTTTTAATATAAAATATATTTCAGCAGTAGATAAACACAACAACTTTATTTTATTTTATTTTTTTCATGTGGTGCTGAAGATTGAACCCAGTGTCTCACACATGCTAGGCAAGTGCTCTTCCACTGAGCCACAACCCCCCTAACCCCTCTATGCAACTTTTTAATTCACTGTAAATACATAAGCTTGTATATTTGTTTTAATACATAAATCTAATGAACTTGGATAATTTAAACCTGTGTCATGATTGGTGATCTATCTCTTATTGTATTGAAAAATCAGATTTCTACATTCAGAAAATTCAGATCTTATGAGTTTAATAAACATAATTGAAACTATAAATACTGCTTTGGGAAGCCATTTCAGAAAACAAGCCCATCTTTCTCCAATGGTGGTTTATATTCATCTCTATGTAGCAGAAGCTGCAGCAAATAAAGCAAATTCACTCATCCAATATCACCAAATACCTTTAATTTCCTTCTTGTATTACACAGCATGGAAAGCAAACCAAACTACTATAAAAGACCCTATGTTCTTCTGACTCACTTTCAGAGAGGTTGGTTCAGAAAGCAATCTGACCTCCACCAAGGAAACATTTTGGATTTACATTTTGGACTTACAACTAGAAGTCAGCAGTGTGAGACAGTGACTGCATATGGAAGACGGGATTTTCTAGGGAAAGTATGGTGACAGTTATACCAATCTCATATCCAGCACCATAAGAGCCAGGTCGTAAAACATGGAAAGAGTGTGGTTTCTATGAAAGCAGCACCAAGTGAACTATTTTTCATATTCAGAATTGGTTTTGTACTTGTCCCTCATCTCGCAAACTCAATCATTGAAATGCCATAAGTTGTAGTTGTTCTATACTTTATCATAAATCTTTTCATACGTTAGAGAAAGTACATCCAGTCAAAGGTTAAAACTAAGAATCTCAAACAATACTTTGAAAGAGAAGTTTATTTTAAATTTCTATAATTGTAGCCTATGAATTTTGGACTGATTATGTTGCTAATACTACCACTAATAAGAATGAGTTAACATTTACTTAGAAGATATAACAATAATGTCAAGCATTGTGATAAATGACTTATAAACATTTGGATTAAATGTTCTTATGTTCTATGAAAGATCCCCTTGGTGGACTGGGAGGAAAAAATCAAAAGTTCACCACAAGAGGAAATTACTTTTAAGAAACCAACTTATGGATAAGCTATTCTTAGAAATATTCAGATTATGGTAAATACTTTTATCAGAGATAATCAAATTCTTAAAAAAACTTTACCTTGTTGCTCTCCTACTCAACATTAAATGCAAAAATATAAGAAGTTCCTCATGATTTTTAAAGTAGCCCATAAAACTCAAACTTGCAGTTTTATAAAAAACAAATGTGGCAGATATGTTGTCCCTCTGACTATACTTTGGCTAGAAAATACTCTGTACCTGGAGATTGATCTCTGCCTCATAGAAGGTTAGGCATGAGCAGTAATGTCGATCTGAGTCAATGTCTGTTAGGACCACCACAAAGAACGTTGGCTGTTTCCTCTCTCTGGATAGCTGCCATCCACCAGGCTGACAAAACTAAATGGAATAGGGGGGAAAAAATGTCACATTATGAAGTATAATGAAAATTTATTCGTTAACATCCAAGAAATAATTTTTTAAGTTTCCTCTTTTAAACTTTGTTAAAAGTTTCCTCTATCTTCAAAAATTTCTGTCTGATGTGGCATGTCATTTTAGCCACATTTTTTAAAAAATTCGTGTACAGATTTATAATGTAGAAAACTTCCACAAATATGCATATATATTTTACAAAGACACCTAGATTTTCCACAGATGGCACTCTGTGATGCCATATCTCAGACCAAGGTTCTCATATGCACGAACATAGCACCAAAATTAAGATCTTTATGCCAAATATTAGAACAAATCATGGAATAAGATAAGTTGGCGATAAAGCACAAAGTATAAAAGGAAAGAATGGGGGATAGAATAGGAAAGACAGAATGAATCTGACATAACTTCCTATGTTCATGTATGAATACACCACCAGTGAAACTCCACATCATGTACAAGCACAAGAATGGAACCCTATTTACAATAAGTTATACTCTATGTATATATGTCAAAATACACTCTACTGTCATGTGTATCTAAAAAGAATAACAAAAAAAAGAGTTAAGTAAACAAAAATATATTATAGGTTCATGGATATGAAGACAATATTGATAAATTTCAGTTCTTCCCACTTTGATTTGTAAATTCAATGCAAGCCAAATAAAAATCCCAGCAAGTATTTTGTGTATTATCAAAAACCTGATTCTAAGGTTTATAAGAAGAGGCAAAAAAAACCAGGAGAGCCAACACAATTGAAGGAAGAGAAACTTACAAGACTGATACTACCTAACTTTAATCTTACTCTAAAGCTTCGGTAATCAAACCAGTATGGCATTAATTTAAAAAAAAATCAATGAAAAGATTAGAGAGAGAGCCAAGAAATATACTCACACAACTGATCTTTGACAGAGGAGAAAAAGGAACAATTGAAAAAAAAGATAATTTTTAACAAATGGTGCTGAAAAAAATTGAATATTAGCATGAAAAAATCTAGAAATGAACTGTGCACATTTCACAAAAATAACTAAAATGGATCATATATAGAGTGTAGAACTATATATCTCCTAGAAGATATACTACAGGAGGAAAAAAAAACTTAGATGGACTATTATTCAGCAATTTAAAAAAGAAATGAGTCACTGAGCCATGAAAGACATAGATGCTTGTTTGTTTGTTGTATGAAAATGGGGATCAAACTCAGAGACTTGTGCATGCTGGGCAAGAGCTCTACCACTGAGCTACTACATCCCCAGCCCATACATAAACGAACATTACTAAGGAAAAGAAGCCAGTCGGAAAAGAGTTACAAATTGATTATATGACACTCTCAAAAAGGCAACAGTAAGGAGGTAATTTTAAAAACCAGTGGTTATCACAGGGTGAGAAGGGAGTGTGGAGGGATTCATAGGTGGAACACAGAGGATTTTTAGGGGAGATGGAATATAAGTTAGTGACAGAGTGCTTGCCTAGTACACCCAAGGTCCTCAAGTCTGACCCCAGAACCAAAACCAAAACATAAGGAAACAGGACTTTCAAAGTAATGAATCTCTTTGTATGATACTATAATGGTGGATATATGTCATATTTGTCAAAATGTACAGAATGTACAATAGGAAAAGTGCACTCTAATATAAACAATGGACTTAGGTGATAATGATGCATCAGCACAGGCTTATTGATTATAACAGATACATTACTCAGGTGTAGGATAATAGTAGGAGAGGCTGCTTCTAGAAAGGGTCTGAGGGAAGAGGTTGTCTGGGAACTCTGAACTTTCACATTAATTTTACTATGAATCTAAAATTGCTCTTTTCTAAATTTTTCTAGAATTTGGAGGAAAAAAAGATACCTTGATTAGTGGCATTACTCATGAATGATACAACAGAAATAATGAGTTTACTAATACCGCAGCCCTTTGTGCCAGATTTACTCCTTTTTTGTTATTCTGCTTAATAACTATATAATCTTGAGCAATTTACTTAACTTCCAAATGCCTCAGTTTCCTAATGTATTAAGGTAGAATATTAATAAATATTTGACAATACTCTTGGGAAGGAATATAAATTAACACATGCAAAGTGCTCAGAACAGTCCCTGGCACATAGTTCAGTGAATATAAATAATAGTTATTATGATTATTATCCACTTTGACTCACCCCAGTTTCTAATGTCATCTCTTTGACACTTTCTTTCTCCTTTGTATATACTTTTTTCAAATCCACCCTTCCTATCATCACCACATTGCCTCCTGTCTCAGCCTAAAGACATCAGAAAAGTAAGATCTAGATGATTTCCTACATTTGAAATAATATTCAGTCTTTCTACAGAATAAAAAGTCCTACCAGATAAATTCCTTTAAATGGATACCATGAAGTACACATGAAGAAATGGCATGAAAGGCTTAAAGATACCTTAATTAGCAAATAAATGAAAACATTCCTACTGAATCTTTATTTTAAAGTAGTAATTCATTTAACAAATACTTTTTGAGCATTGAAATACCATTCATTTTACAAAGTCTTCTCTGAAAATTCCCAGTTTCTTTAGCTCCCTCCAAACCAAAGAGTTTGGGCAGTTCCTGTCCTATATACCAAAACTATTTTTATTATAAATAACAACAACAATAACAGTAACCTTTCCTCCTCTGTCTCTTATCTACTAATCTGATACAGAGAAGTTCCCATCATTGTCTTTATGTACTTATTTCTCTCTCAAGAATCCACCTATACTAAATTCTATATCGTTTTATAGATATAGTGATCACTTGTGATCACTGCAAGCCCTTCACATTCCAGTATAGCGTAGTAAATAGAATTGCAGAAGTTTCCTGAAGTCAAAACTATTTTCATAATAATACTAAGATGTTCACTGCTTCTTTCACCTGTTGACATTTATATTAGTTGGGCAAAAGCAACAATAGGTAAAATTTCTGTGTCTTAACAGAGTCTATCACAGTAGCACCAAATTATACTGGTAGTTACTGTATTCTTCACAGCTGCACATTTACAAATAAAAATAATAAAAATAATAATAATAAAGTCAGTTTTAGTTAAGAAAGCCTTGGGAAAGCAATAAATATTTAAATTTCATTTTAACACATTTGATCACAACTTCTTCAATGTATCAAATAGTATGTACAAAGCACTTATGCTACATGTGGAAATAGGATAGTTGTCTAGAAAAAAAATTGTGTGTGGTGGTTTAAACTGTGAACTGAATTAGAATGAATTTTTTTTAAAGAACATCATTTTTTACTTGAGAGTATCAGACAAAATATGCTTATACAGACATGTATTTGGCAGACATTTTTTCAAAACAAATCAATTAGACCTGTAACTTCAAGACAAAGATTGCTGCCAGTATCTGGCACAAATACCAAATATTTGTTACCAATGATAAAACTTGAGCTTTCAAACACGACCATGAGCCTGAAAAGTTTGCAATACTTTAAAATTTTCCAGACAAAAATTATGGCACTATTAACAAATGTAATGTTTTAAATATTATTTAATGACATGTCAATGTCTGGAGGATCTATATAGCTCATTGAATTCATATTTGCCAAATGATCAATGCATGGTATTATCAAATCATGCATGGATAAAAAAATCTATTCAATCTTTTCAATAGGTAGACTAATATAGTACAACATAATATGAAAATGTGTGTTTACAGATTCCACCTTCCAACTAACTTTTAGAAAAACTATTTGTTCTATGTTGGCACAGTATTCAAAGAAAAATATCCTTAATTATTCAAAAAGATTATTAAATACTCTTCCCTTGTCTGATTTTCTTCATATACTTTAAAGTAAAAAAAAGAAGAAAATCACAAGAGCAGACCCAGGTATGAGATTCCAGATACCTCTGAAATTTAGAAATATATCAAATATACAAGATATTTAGAAAAATATTTTTAAAGCCACTCTCTTTGGTAAAAGAATATATTTTTCGTTTACTTTGGAAAATATACCTCGTTTCATAAATACCACATTTATATTAACATGTAATTTTTAATGAATAAATTTATTTTTAAAAATTTAGTTTCAAATTTTAATGTATGAACAGGTAAAACCATATAAGCAAAACTTACTGGTAGTCCTTAATGATCTATGAACATATAAAGGGTACTGAGGCTAAAAAGTGATTAACTGCCTTTTTTTTTTTTGGACCAGGGATTGTACCCAGGGGTGCTTAACCACTAAGCCATATCCCCAACTTTTTTTTTAAACTTTTTAAATTTTTCAGACAGAGTCTCCCCAATATGCTTAGGGCCTTAGTAAGTTACTGGGGCAGGCCTTAATCTTGTGATCTCCCTGCCTCTGCCTCCTGAGTTCCTGGAATTACAGGTTGTGTGCCACCATGCCCAGCTGCAAAGTGCTCTTTTAGTGAGAATGAGTGCTAACATGTAACTAACCTTGGCTTAAACAATATTTCTGGGTAGCAAAAAGGTAAAATACTTTTTTAGAACCAGGGAATTCTATTAGATTACAACATACCCAGAAACGTCTTTCAAAAATCTTTTTATTTTCAACAAACTTCTTTCCTAAATCAGTCATATTTTATCCTCTTTCTTTCTTTCTCTCTCTCTGTGTGTGTGTGTGTGTGTGTGTGTGTGTGTGTGTGTGTGTGTGTGTGTGTGTGTTTGGCAGTAGTGGTGGTGGTGTTACTGGGGATTGAACCTAGGGGGGAATTCTATGGCTGAGCTAAATTTCCAGCCCTTTAAAAAAAAAAATTGAGACAGAGACTTATTAAGTTGTCAAGGCTGCCTTGAACTTGTGATTCTCCTGCCACAGCCTCCCAAGTCACTGGGAAGGTATATCATTTTCTAAAGTTAATTATAGAACCAGGAATAAAGTATCTGAGCTTGTTAATAAAACAATATGATACAACTGGCAATAACAATTCCACTACTATTACTTATTCAACAAACTGCATCTCTGATACAAAGTAAATCAATTCTGT